CCAGTGTTGGGGCTACTCAGAACTCAGGGAGTATCAGTCACAGATCTGAAGCAGCAGGTGGTCCTTATAATGCAGATTCTGGAACAACTGGGCTGGGTGCTCAACCTCAAGAAGTCGGCCCTGGAACTACTGCAGAACCTGGAGTACTTGGGGATGGTCCTAGACATGGTTTAGGCAAAAGTATTTCTGCCTCCAGGAAAACGTTGCTCCCTGAGGAACAAGGTTTGCAGTTTGAAGGCCAAAAGGTATCCTTCAATTCGCCTCTGTAAAAGGTTGCTGGGGAAGATGGTGTCCTTGTTCAAGGCTATTCCCTATGCTGAATTCCTCTCCAGACTGCTGCAAAGGTACATTCTGTCTGTTTGGAACAAAAAGATTCTGACCCTGGTTTACTGCATATCTCTATCTCCAGAGGTGCAGCAGAGCCTGAATTGGTAGTTTTTAACTCACAATTTGGAGAAGGGAAGATCTTTTTGGCCAGCGATGTGGATGTTGGTAACCACCGATGCAAGCCTTTCAGGTTGGGGGGCCGTTCTGGAGGAGGCCATAGTTCAGGGAACATGGCTTCCACGGGAAAGGGTTCTTCCCATCAATGTCCTGGAACTTTAAGCAGTGAGGCTGGCTCTGAGATATTGGACATCCAGGTTTCATGATTGGCCTGTAAGGATTCAGCCCGACAATGCCACAGCAGTCGCATACATCAATCACCAGGGAGGTACCAGGAGTCGAGGTACCTAGAAGGTGGTAAACTGTATTCTGGCCTGGGCAGAGAGATATGTTCCAAGTCTGTCAACAGTGTTCATTCCAGGTGTGGAAAATTGGCAGGCGGATTATCTCAGTCGCCGGCAGTTGATTTCAGGGGAATGTGCTTTGCATTTCGATATTTTCAAGGAAGTCTGCCAGCGATGGGGCTTCCTATTGGTAGATCTATTGGCATCCAGGTTCACCAACAAGGTTGGTCTTTTTGTGTCCAGGGTAAGGAACCCACACGTGCCAGTGGTAGGCACCTTAGGAATCCCTTGGAACCAGTTCTCATTGATTTATGCCTTTCCTCTGATCCAGCTGCTGCTGCATCTCTTATGCAGGATTTGGGAGGAGTCTATTCTGGTGATACTGATTGGAGGGCCTGGTACGCGGACATAGTGAAGATGGCAGTAGATGGGCCATGGGCCCTGCCGTATCAGCCAGACCTGTTGTCTCAAGGTCTCATATTGCACCCAGCTTTATGGTTGCTGAATTTGATGGTGTGGCTATTGAAACCCAGATCCTGAAGGATAGGGGCATGTTGGATTTTGTCATCCCCATCATATTGGATACTAGCAAGGGAGTTTCTAAGAACATTTATTACAGAACCTGGAAGGCTTGCATTGCCTGGTGTGAGGTTCAGAAATGGCAACCATGAAAGTATGTGATTGGCAGGATTGTCTCATTTCTTCAAACCGGGTTGCAGAAGAATTTGGCTGTTGGTACCATTAAGGACCAGGTTGCAGCATTAGCTATTTTTCTTCCAGAGGCCCATTGCGTCTCACTATTTGCTCCGCACTTTTTTTAGAAGCAGTAATGTGTATGGCCCCTCCTGTCAGGTTGCATCCTTGGGACCTGAACTTGGTTTTGGAGGTTTTGCAAAAGCCATCATTTGAACCTATTGGAGAGATTCCACTGGTCCTGTTGACTCGTAAGGTGTTTTTAGTGGCAATCACTTCTGCGAGAAGATTGTCAGAGCTGGCAGCTCTATCTTGCAGAGAACGATTTCTGGTTTTGCATTATGATAGAGTGGTGTTGTGACTCCATCCGTGCTTTTTACCAAAGGTAATTTCTGGTTTTCAACTCAATCAGGACATAGTTCTGCCTTCATTCTTTCCTGGGCCTCAGTCAGCAAAAGAGAGATCTCTGGATGTGGTTCGTGCTGTAAGGGTCTTCTTGAAGGTGACAGCACAAGACAGGAGGTTGGATGCTCTATTTGTGCTGCCAGAGGGACCTAGGAAGGGGCAGGTGGCATCCAAGGCAACTATTTCTCATTGGATCCACTAATTGATCATTCATAGGCCTATGGTTTGAAAGGTAAAGTCCCACCCTTTTGGGTGAAAGCACACTCCACCAGGAGTATGGGGGCATCTTGGGCAATCCGCCATCAGGCGTCAGTGGCTCAGATTTGCAAGGCCGCTACATGGTCTTTGGTTCACATCTTCACAAGATTCTACCAGGTGGATGTAAGAGCCGCAGAGGATTCTGCCTTTGGCTGCAGTGTTTTTACGAACGGAATGCTTTGGGACATCCCACACAGTCATAAATAGCCTGCTCTGTGTCCCATGATGTACGATAAATAAAATTGCATTTTTTTTACATACTGACCTGTAAAATCCATCTCTTGAAGTACATCACGAGACACAGAGGTCCTCTTTCGGGAATGTTATTGTTTGCTACAAAAACTGAGGTAGTTCTTGTATAAGAGGGGTTATATGGAGGAGGACCTCCTCTCTGATTGGTCAGCCAGTGTCCATTCACCTATAGGTGGCTTATAACCCACATAGTCATAAATAGTCTGCTCTGTGTCCCGTGATGTAGTCCAAGAAATGGATTTTACAGGTAAGTATGTAGAAAAAAAATCTAAATTTTTTTTTCTTTTCTTTTTCAAAATCCTGTGACAAAAAATAGTATCTGCAAAAAACTCACCATGCCTCTTATCAAATTCCTTGGGGTGTCTACTTGGCAAAAAGGGGTCATTTGGGGGGGTGTTTGTACTATCCTGGCATAGGGCCTCAAAAACTCTGATAGGTAGTGAGGAAGTGACATGAGGAAATATGCCCTATGAAAGCCTGAAGGTGATCATTGGATTCTGGGGGCGTGTATGTAGCTAGGCTCCCAAACAGTCTTTCACATGTGGTATCCCCATACTCGGGACAAGTAGCAGACTGTGTTTTGGGTGTTATTCCAGATATACCCATGGCATGTGTGAGCAATATATCGTTTAAGTGACAATTTTGTGTAAAATTCTGTCATTTTCCAAAAATGTGAGGCAAAAAAAAAATCTTCCATGGACTCTACATGCCTCTCAGCAAATTCCTTGGGATGTCTACTTTAGAAAAAGGGGTCAATAGGGGGGGGGGGGGTGTATTGCCTTGGCATTTTAGCACCTCAAGAAATGTGACAGGCAGTCAGAAAGTAAAAGCTGCGTAAATTCCAATATATACAGTCATGGTCAAAAATGTTGGCACCCCTAAATTTCTGTCAGATAATGCACCACTTCGCCTAAAAAAAACTGTTGCAATTACAAATGTTTACTTGTTTTGTGTTTGTATTGTTATGACATGAGCCTCAGAACCTGTGTAATTAATATGTATTCGGCTTTAAAAGGGATGAGGTGGCAAACCTAGCAATAGGTATTCAGGAAATTAGATGCGTGATTTACACCCCTTGAAAGCTTTAATGTGATTCTAAACGCTTAGGGTTTTTTACTTTCATGCATTCAATGCATGAAGGTAAAAACCCTTTACTATGCAGCCCCTCCCCCTCATGATTCAGCAATGTGCACGGAAGCATGTGTTTTTCCCCAGGTCTCTCTCTCCTCATTGGCTCAGACACAGGTTCCCACTGCTGTCAATCGCAGCCAGTGAGGAGGGAGTGGGGGGGGGGGTGTCAGGGCCGAGCCCCATTCTGTGTGTCTTGTGGTCACACAGAGAGGGGCTCTGGAGCAAGCATGCATGAGGGGGCACTCTACAGGAGGGAGGCACCAGTAACGCCAGCTGGATAGGCAAGAAAAAATCACCCATTAGTACACCCCCTGCACAAAACACTAAACAGTTAATAATATTTTGAAATTCCTTACCATTTTGGAGAAAAGTGTAATTGAATTTTCATGACCTCATCTCTGTAATTTTAAAGATAACGGCATCTGCTCTGCCAAGGAGGAAGTGTAACAGCGTCTCCTCTCTCTCTGCAGTAAAATGAAACTACAGTTCCCATCAATAACAGGGAATTGTAGTGAATGTGAGTGCGTACACTAGGCCTGTACATGTTGAATGTGTCTGAGAAGTCTCGGTCCGCCCACCATTGCAAGTGAGGCTAAACTACATCACTGCTTCCTGGAGAAAGAGCTACAGAAGGCATGTGCCAGGACCAGTGGCTGGGGGAATAGGATTCATAGCGGTCACTTGTCTTACAAACAGGAAACCAAAGATAATTCATGGTTTGATTTGAAAATGAATAGGCTATTTCAAAGCAACTACTGCGTGTACTAGAAAATGGAAATCAGCAATATGGTAATGTAAAGAGTTTTTGCCCAGGGTTCTACTCTAAGGTGTTCTTTAGATTTTGGGCTGTGAAAAACTCTCACACATGTGAGGAGAGGAGTGGTAGAATGTGTTTTGGTGTGTAGTTCTAAGAATGCCTACACTGTGTGCTAATAATACATTATTTGCCAAAGGTATTGGGACGCCTGCCTTTACATACACATGAACTTTATTGGCATCCCAGTCTTAGTCTGTAGGGTTCAATAATGAGGTGGCCCACCCTTTGCAGCTATATCAGCTTCAACTCTTCTGGGCTGTCCACAAGGTTTAGGAGTGTCTCTATGGCAGTGTTTCTCAACTCCAGTCCTCATGGACCCCCAACAGGTCATGTTTTCAGGATTTCCATTATTTTGCACAGGTGATTTGATCAGTTTCACTACCTTAGTAATTACCACAGCTGTTTCATCTGAGAGAAATCCTGAAAACATGACCTGTTGGGGGTCCATGAGGACTGGAGCTGAGAAACACTGCTCTATGGGAATGTTTGACCTTTCTTACAGAAGCGCATTTGTACGAGAAGGCCTGGACTTTGAACGTATTTGGACGAGAAGACCTGGCTCACAGTCTCTGCTCTAATTCATCCCAAAGGTGTTCTATCGGGTTGAGGTCAGGACTCAGGGTCAGGGTTTTTATGGGCCTTGCTTTGTTCACTGGTGCGCAGCCATGTTGGAACAGGAAGGGGCCATCCCCAAACTCTTCCCACAGAGTTGGAAGCATTAAATTGTCCAAAATGTCTTGGTATGTTGACACCTTAAGAGTTCCCTTCACTGGAACTAATGGGCCAAGCTGATCCCCTGAAAAACAATCCCACACCATAATCCCCCCTCCGCCAAACTTGACACAATGCAGTCAGGCAAGTACCGTTCTTCTGGCAACCGCCAAACCCAGACACGTCTATCAGATTGCCAGAGAAGTATAGTTCATCACTCCAGAGAACACATCGCCACTACTCTAGAGTCCAGTGGCAATGTGCTTTACACCACTGCATCCTACACTTTGCATTGCACTTCAGCATGTGCTGACCCTGCTCATTCATTTTACGTGTCCTACCACTTCATAGCTGAGTTGCTGTTGTTCCCAGTTGCTTCCACTCTTTTATAATACCGCTAATAGTTGACCATGGAATATTTAGTAACAAGGAAATTTCACGGATGGACTTATTGTACGGGTGGCAACCTATTACGGTACCATGCTTGAATTCACTGAGCTCCCGAAAGTGACCGATTCTTTCATAAATGTTTGTAGAAGCAGTCTGCATGCCTAGGTGCTTGATTTTATACACCTGTGGCCATGGAGGTGATTGGAATACCTGAATCCAATAATTTGGAGGGGTGTCCCAATACTTTTGGCTGTCTAGTGTATGTTATAAATTGACACCTTAATGTAAAAAAATTCATTTTAATTTCCTTTCTCCACATTCTCCAAAAGCATGGTAAAAAAGTATGTCTTCAATAGACTCACTATTCCTCTTCATGGCCTACCTGTGATAGGCAGTCAGGAAATTGAATAGTTTTATGCCCCCAAAAAGCCTGAAGCTTCTTCCTGGAGTTTGGGCCCTTGTATGCATCTACACTATGAAAAATTCTCACATATGTGGTATCCCCATACTAGGGGGTAGTAGCAGAATGTTTTTTGGAGTGTAAAATGTAAGTATGCCTATGTTGTGTATGAGAAATTATTTGTTAACATGACAACTTTGTGAAAAGAAAAAAAAAATATTTAATTTCTTCATTTTCCAAAAAATTGTGGCCAAAAATTATAACTTTACTACTAAAATTATAATTTTACACAAAAAATTCACCATGCATGTTACTAAATACCTTGGATTGTCTTCTTTCTAAAAGGGATCATGTTGGGGGTATTTATAATGTCTTGGCAGAACTGAGCATTTTTAATTTTTTTTTTTTGCTGAGTTATGTTAGGAGTGCTGAGTTGTTAGGGATACTGTGTTGTTGGGGGTGCTGTGTTGTGTTAGGGGTGCTGTGTGTTTTAGGGGTGCTGTCTTATGTTAGGGGACGTTGTGTTGTGTTAGGGGTGCTGAGTTATGTTAGGGGTGCTATGTTGTGTTAGGGGAGCTGTGTTATGTTAAGGGGCACTGTGTTATGTTAAGGGGTGCTGTGTTGTGTTAGGGGAGCTGTGTTATGTTAACCACTTCCCGACCGGCCGTTGTATATAAACGGCCGGACGGTGGCAGTGCAGGGTCGGGTGGCCGTTTATAAACGGCCTCCCCGCACCCTGCTTGTGCGCGCTCCCTGGGAGCGCGCAGCACCGCGATCCGGTGCCCGCTGTGTCCTCCGGACACAGTGAAACACCGATCGTCGGACGGGACCTCTGTACGAGGTCCCAATCATGTGATCACTGATAGGCCAATCAGTGATCACATGCAAAGTAGCAAGCAAGATGTCACTTGTGACATCATTGCTTACTACGTGTGAATTCTGTGAATGATCACAGAGGTCACATGGTACAAGGCTATTCACAACAGCCTTGTACCATGTGACAAACTGTGACCAATCACAGCTCACTCTGTATTTCTCAATGACTGCAAGAATGCAGACAGAGACAAAGAGAAATGATTGCTTTTACATCCTATATGGGTGTAAAAGCAATCAGTGTAAAAAAAAAAAAAATCTTCATCACCCCCCACAAGTAGTACAGTGTCACCATGGTGACACTGTACTGCTAGGGTGACAGTATGTAGAAAAAAAAATAAAAATAATAATATAAAAAATAAAATAAAAATGTAAAAAAAAAATATTTAAAAATTATAATTTTTGGTTATAAACTAATTTGGATTTTTTTTTTTTTTGCTAAAAAATAAAGGAATAAATTTTGGCCAAGATTTATGATGAAATATTATTTATTTGCAAAATTTAAAAAAAAAACACTTTTTTTTCAAAATTTTTGGACTTTATCATTTACATAGCAAAAAAAATTAAAATCCGAGCAGTGAATAAATACCACCAAAATAAAGCTTTATCTGTCTCAAAAAAATGGTAAAAAATTCATTTGGGTACAGTGTGGCATGACCGCGCAATTGTCATTCAAAGTGTGATAGTGCTGAAAGCTGAAAATTGCCGTGGTCAGGAAGGGGGTAAAAGTGTCCGGTCTGGAAGTGGTTAAGGGGCACTGTGTTATGTTAAGGGGTGCTCTGTTGTGTTAGGGGAGCTGTGTTATATTAAGGGGTGCTGTGTTATGTTAAGGGGTGCTGTGTTGTGTTAAGGGGTGCTGTATTGTGTTAGGAGATGCTGTGTTTTGTTAAGGGATGCTGTGGTGTAAAGGGGGGCAGTGATGGGAAAAGAGGACATTATGGGACTTCTTTAAAGAGGGGACCGTGATGTAGAGGGGACTGCAGTGTGAAAAGCTAAAGATCAAAATGTGTTATATCGCTAACGAGATTCGGACTTCTGCTGGAAGGAAATTTTTCTGACTGGACCTCCATAAATTTTAATTCAAGACCCCTGCTGTATACCATAGTTCCACCTCAAATCCTTTCTGACCCCCCCCCCCCCAAATTGTCCATCCAGTACAAATCCTCTTCCTCCCAGCACAAATCTTCTCCACCCCTAAATCCCCACTGTAGTACAAATCCTTTTCTCCCCCAAATCCCCCCAGCACAATTTTACTTCCCCCTTCTAGTAAAAATCATCTCGGCCCCTCTATCCCATATTCTATATCTAGTACAGCTGGTGGGGAGAGATGGCATCTTTTGCAGAGTAGGTGATTGTGGCATCTGGGGTGCCCAGAGTCCTTGGCCCTTGTGAAGTAAATTAGTGGAGCCACACACAGGGACAAGTTCTGGCACTGCGCTCTGGGACTTGTTGAAATCCCAGGACAGTCTTGTGGAATCAGAGATCATTGGGAGGTATTGTACAATAGTTTCTATGATCTGTACAATTTATTTCCAGTTCCTGGTATGAGATACTCAGAAGCCTGCACATGTACTCATGCATGGTTGCCAACATTTCAAAAAAGTTTTTAGAGACACCTGTTTTCTCTGTGTCCATAAAGCTGCTGTAGGCAGAGCACGTTAATTAGGGGTGGGGCATTCATTTATTGTGGGCATGACATATCATTAACATATTTATTTCAATTTATTTTAATCCTTATGAATATTAATTTAAACATATACCTATATAGCAAAAATGGCAGGAATATACTGTACAATCACCTGTTCAGTAATGCTGGATTCACACTGGATGGCTGGATGGAGATAACTGTGCGTACTGGATGGAGATGACTGTGTGCACAGGATGGAGATGAAATTGTTCAGGATGGAGATGACTGGATGAAGAGGACTGTGTGTACCGCATGGAGTAATATACTGTACGTCTATCTAAAAGTTTAGATAGACTGTAAGTAGAAAACGTGTTGTTAGCTGACAAAGATGGCATCTTTTTTTCATATAGTACTGTCCCGACTGTGAGAAATTGGGCAGTGACATCAGACATAGACCGCAAGTTGTGGAGCGGCCATCTTGGATGAGGTCTAGAGTGAGCAAACGCTGATGCTTTTTAATAAGGAAAAATGCTGATGTGCCATGTTTGTTTGTAAGCGCTTTTTTATTGGAATAAATAGCTGGTTTTAAAAAACGTAATGCACTATGTATGCTTATCTATTCTGACCCATTATACATTGCCATTGGAAACCTGGAATATTACTGGCCTGGAGGAGCTGTTTCTATTTTATGCTTTTGGACTGGCTTAGTCCGGTGCATGGTCTGTGAGGTGGTGGAGTGTTAATTCATTTATCACTGGTGGTCACAATTGATGATTGAGGGGAGCACGAGAGAACACAATATTGAGGTATTGAAGATATGACACTATATTATTTTTCTCCGGAGGCTATATCTCCTATGAAGAGGAGGAAAGAAGAGGAGGCTGTATATTGGAAGAATCTTGTCTGGACATTTGTTATAAGGCGGTTTTAGATAGAGGAATAACAAGTGGAGGATGAAGTAAGAATCACACACGGAAGGATATTGAACAAGAAGAAGGAGAAATTTTAATCACTGTAGGGGTCATTTAGTATATAGATGCTGTGAGAGACTTTTATTTGGACTTTCAGGGGAGAAAATGATATCCTGGCATCTAGGATTTGAACGTATATTTGATTGTGCACAAAAGGGGATACCGGTTGTAAGGAATTTCATCAGTTTATATAATTGGGCTAAGCTGCAGTCTTCTGAAAATCTAGATCCCACCACCACAGAACTTCCCTCCCTGTAGTTCTCTCACTGCAGCTGATACGCGCACCCCAGAGGAAGGCGGGCTTGGCGTGATAAACTCCGAGGCTACCTGCACCACCTCTCACCCACTCACACTGCAGAACCAAGCCTAACAGGCAGGCTACACCTCGGAGATGTTCAGTCTGGAGGCATCCCCCAATGGCAGCGTGTGAAACAGCTGCTGGGGTAGGAGAGGAAATAGGGAGAAGGATCTCTCCCTGCATTATTCTCTGTGTATTAAAATATACTAAATGGCATCTATATGCATCACACAACCTTCACATTATCATATTTGTATCCCTGATTTGAATAGAAATAAAATCTGACGGATATACTCATAAAATGGTGCATGCTGTTTCCAAGATTCTAGCCACCTGGAGCACAAATAACCTCCAGGGCTGCCATAAAAAAAATAAACTATAAAAAAGGTTAGTGAATTATGGCAAATGCCAGCTTCAGCCTGGAGGCTGTAGTTTTTCTTACTCCCATTGCTCTTTATTATCCATCATATCCTGTATCCAATGGGTGTCCTCATTGACCAATATAAGCCTGCTGAATGGGTTAAGGCCAAATGACAACTGTTCATTTTTCTAAGCCTGTCAACAATACCCACCATCATGTGAACCTATTAAATCTAATTACTCAATTGTTTTAATATATGCAAAGGGAAAAATGGAATAGCAAAAGCATAAATGTAAAATAACAGAAGTTTATCACATACAGCTATAGCCCTGACTGATGGTCCCTGTAAGTAGCAAGAGCTGCACATCCCAGGCATTCTCACCACCATAATTTGGATCTCTACTCCTGGCTTTGATGGACAGCACAGAAGAAGAGGGGGAGAAATGAAATTTAGCCCCACCCATCCGAAGGAAGTGACAGGTAGGCTGGGCAGCAAGGGAGAATAACCAGGGGCATTGGCTTAGGCAAAGAGAACTGTGCAGTTTTTAGCCATGGGGAGCCTATGGGCAGAGAGAGATGGGAAGTTCAGGCTAAAGGAAAGCAGGGAGACAGAGAATCCTTGGGAACAAGAGCAAGGGTGAGGTAGGTAG